GTCGAGGACAAGTCTGCTAATTAAGGAACAAAAACTCTTGTTTCATGCGCAAAGTTGGCTGTAAATTGTAAGGTGTTAGAATTACTGGCCACAATCAATATTGCCTCCTATGCTTTCCAAAATGATTGAAACCATCAGTACTTAATCAAGGTATATGTTCCTCATTTCATAAGCAAAACTCGGATACACATTTTGAAAATATTTCTACGCTTTAGTATCTGAGGGATGAGCAATTTCTCCATCCTTTAATGTATGATCTGCATGCTACTTATTGAATATGTTGTGCGCTTTGATTGGTATAACCTCTTCAATCAATCTGTTATCGGCAAATATAACATCCATTTATGTGGGATTGGCACTTTTCCACTTCCTTACTTATACTGAGATTTTCGACAAAAAGACATGTCGAACGATGTTCTTCTTCTATCCAAAAGATCATACATTTGTCTATACTCACATCTATCATCTGATACGGCAATCCAAGACCATGAAAACGTTTCTGAACAACGTTATAGGATGCTGGTGAGAGATTATCCTCAGGCATAAGGTCTTTCACTAGTTCAGTCCAGCCATTCACACACTCCTCACTCATATTGAAATCTTTCTTTAAACTCATCATCCTAATTGCAGTTGATAATGGGGAACAACACCCTTTACAGCCATTATATAAAGGCTGTTTACCAGTGCATAACATATCAAAGAACTTCCTAGCTTCGAAATTAGGCTCTTCCCCTCTATCTGCATACTCATCATTCGATGGTATACTTTCACAAAATGCATAATTCACTATATCAACATAATGTCTCGTTTCTGCGTGATCTGTTCGAGGTTCCTCTAAGGTATCTCATGTTGTACATAAGTACTACCAAAATCCACTATTGCATCAGCTTACCCATGATAATACCAAAATCTTATAACCCGCCACAAATCCATTACAATACGAATGTGATTAGAGTTCTTATGCGGGTTATGATTGCTTCAAGATTTTACAATTTATAACCCAACTACATGAGCTGCAAGTGCACAGCCGTGTTGTGATCAGGGTCGAACACAAGGAGAAAAAGTTCTTACTTAACACCTTTGGATGATTGAAAACAAGCTAGGACAAGAATAAAGTTGGTGTGGATGATTAAAACCTGAAAATAAGAAAGACAAAACAAAGCAAAATGTAAGATGAGGTTGTAAGCAATTAAGACAAGAAGTTAGGCAAAGGACAATCATATGGAGCATGTAATGAAAAGATAGTTGCATGAGATAAAGTTAAAAGCCGTCTTGATATGAATCAGTAATGTATAGTCTTTCCACTTTCGTGGTTCCAACCAGTATGTTTAAAACAACCTAATATACTCAGCTTTTGTTGGCTATTAGTATTGCAAATATGCATAAAATATGATCAAGATTCAATTGTTCACAATGGTCCATAACTCAGATTTCGTTGGCTAAGACTCATTGCTCACCAAATACTAGTTTTGAGAGCTAGATTCAGCACTGTCGTAGTTCTATCTCTCTATGATCAGATTACTAGATGTACGGTAATGTAATCATGCATTAGTTCAAGTAAAGGTGAAGACTGAAAGAAGGATTTTTTGGTTTCTCTTTGCAATTAGAACTCTTTTCAGCCAATTGTAGTATAGCTAGGGTTCTTTGTCAAATCCAAAAGGTCATGATAGAGTCACCAAGAATGCAAGAAACTATGTGAGCTAAGCAAATTGGAAATGGGTTTTGAACTACCAACCTAAGTGAAATAAAGAAACATAAAGCATTAAACAAAATGAAATTGAGCAAAAGAAGAAAAGCTATGGGTTTAAGGATGATAGTTATTAAACTAGAGAGACTCTTTAGCTAATCTATGAAGCTCAAACAATCAATAGAATGCTAATCCTTAGGCAAAGAACTCTTAAACAAGACGAATTCACTCTCATGACATTAATCACTTTGCTAATTACCAATTTCAAGAACTAATCATCATTAGTGAAATTCGAATTTAACAAGTATTATAAACAAGTTCTATCTAGCCACTAATCACCTTAAACATCTAATCCCTTAGGTTAAGCATGAAAATCTCTTGATTTAGTTGGTTGAGATATTTCATCACACCTTGTGGGTGGGAAATGTCATTTGATCTAAATAATTTTTCTCAAAGCTAATCTAGCACTAAGATCATGATCAAGAAAGGATTAAGAAAATCTAAGCCTAAGCATCATGGATTAACAATCAAGTCTCTAAATCTAACTCACCCCTAAACCCTAAAAGAACTATTCCCTAATCATGAAGAACTCAACAAATCTCATGTGAGAAGTGTTAAGGATAATGATTAGAGAGAAGGAAGGTGAAAGATTAGATATTAACAAAGATAAACTCTCAAATTTGATGAACTAAGGATCTTGCAAAATGTGTTTAAAACCCAAAGGGAAAAAGTTTTTTTATGTTCTCAAATAGAAATTACAAAATGCCTAATAAATTATAGTGGAGACATAAAACCCTTTGTCAACTCATTTAATTTGACCTCTCTAGTATTCTCCCATTGGCTTAGACTCCAGAAAATGCAGTTTTAGGCTTGGTCAAGGCTCAATCAAAGCGTGGTCAATGCACGCAGGTCTGGTCAATAGAAGGCAATCAGGTTGGAGAAACCTGATTGAAATCCTGATTGTCGCTCTCTGGAAAAACAGAGGAATTCTCCTTGCTTTTGCTTCCATCCTTTTCGGTCTTAACTCACTCCATCACTCCTTCATCATCCAAATGCATCTCAAATCATCCAAAAGCACCTGTTTACAACTCCAAATGCTCCATATATGCAATGTCCTAGCTAAAACCTACAAAACTCTAAAGTGAATGCAAACTAGACTAAATGGGAGAAGATGATACATAAATGGATGCAAAAACTAAGAGAAATGGATGCTTAAAACAAGTAATTATGCACACATCAGAGATCTATAAGCTAAAATCCCATTAAAGTGCAACACAATCAAATCATCACAGCAACCATAGATCGCCTCTACCTAACCGAGAGATCTATTCGGCCATGATGCAAACAAGCAAGCAAAGCAAGAGTGAAGACATTATGCAAGTATATATAAGAAATAAATGGATAAATAAAGCTTCTCTATTGAAGAAACAGGTCGGATCAACCTTAAAATTCTCTATCTCAAGTACAAAGTTGAATAGAAAAGAAAAGGAAAATAAAGAACAAGTGATGAACAAGTGCAAGGCTTGAGCGGCCTCCTATGCAAAGTCTTAGGGCTTCTTCTCCTTGACCGCGGCTCTCCTTTTCTTCTTGACACACTCCAAGACACATTGACCTCAGCGGCTCAAAACATGTATATATGGGCAAAAGTCAAGTAGGGGTTTTCGGTGTGCCGGAAATGGAAAGTTTCCCATGAGTCAGTCCTCTTTTCTCAGGTCGTGTATGGGCTAGGATTCAACCAAGGAAGACTCCAAATATTATCTAGGTCTCTCCCTGAGTGATCCGGGCCGCGGGATGCACCAAATCTCTCCATGGGCTTCATTTTGTCGCTAACCGGACATGTCTCGGTACAAAATAATTTTCTCCGTGATGAATGATCCAATTGGCTTCATTCCACTTTGACGTGATTCATGACTCGAATATCTATCCATCAAGACCAAGATCACCTCTTTTGGACGTCGGGAACACCTCCATTCACAGCCTGAAGCTCTGTTTCTGCTCAGTAGTGAGAATCGAATACTTGGAGATAAATTGATGCTCTTGACTTGGAAACTTGCATGGAACTTGGTTTAAGGCTCTTTGATCCTTTTTGCATCATTATTTATAGTTTCATCTGCAAAGACTTCAAATCCTATAAATACAAGAAAATTACCTCTAAAAGCAAAAAAATCTTATTGAAAATGCTTAAAATTAAATACTAAGTAAAAATATGTAAAATATAATGATATCAAGTTCGGTTATTGAGACTTATCTACAATTCTGACAATTAGTACAAGAACAATAAATTTTACAAAAAAATTTGGTCTTTATCTGAGTTATCGCAAATCCCATGAATTGTTGCAGACCTTTTTTGTTACAAGAATTTGATGAGGATAATCATAAAGATCTGAAGATGACATTGAAGATCGAGTATGTTTTCGTTACATTTGCATTTAGCTCTGGGAAGAATAGGTGAAGGGGCGTTGGGATTATAAAAAATGGAATTCCGTTGGAAATTTCCGACGGATGATGGCAGCTAGATCATATTTGTGTAAAGCTGATTTCTGTCGGCACTCCATATTATCCCTTGGAATTTCCGACAGATTTGCTTCTCTCAAATTCCTGTAGAAATTATTGATGATATGTCCAACGAACACCTTTCCGTCGGCGGATTTCCGACAATTTCTTATTCGTCACTAAATTGTCGTTAATCCGTTGGAAAATTCTGACGGAAAGGTGTCCGTTGGAAATGGCAATCTCTTTTTTTTGTAGTGATTATGTTATTTTGCAATGGAAAATGCAATTATATTAGAGAAAAATCTATTGCAAAATAGCATAAAGTGATAAATTTGCTATGGGTTGGAGATGCTCTTAGAATATATTTTTAACTAAATTATTATCTATTATGGGTTACTTAAGAGGTAACAAAGCTTGCCATCCACTCCTATTATAGATTTATGAATGTTGAAAACTACACCAGTTCGCAAATACGCAATCATCCAATACATGGATATGAATGCACCCATTTCCATGCAAGAGATGAACGTTGTGGGAGACATATTAAATTCAACATAAAAAATAGAAATGTGTTATGATTTGCAAAGATAAACTCGGAATCAAAGGCGACACACATATTTGTTAGAAAGGTGAAATTGAATTATATTATTAACAATGACTTTACATAGTTTTTATATAGTAAGCGAGAGATACAAATAGGAAGGAAAATATAGGGACAGTAATTGAGAAATATACAGGAGTAACGATGCAGATACGAGACGTGATGGAGTTATAATTGAGATATAATTGAGTATCTCATTTCCTAATCTAATATGCCCCCTCAAGATGGAGCATCATTGGTGAGGCCAATCTTGACAGTGAGTTGTTGAAACTGCATCCAGGAAAAAGGTTTAGTGAGAGCATCCACAAGTTGATCATCAGAGGAGATATGCAATACTACTCGTAGTTGTTTCGATTGCACCAGATTCCTCACAAAGTGATAGTCGATTGCAAGATCCTTCATCCTTGAATGAAAGACAGGATTGGCAGCAAGGTAAGTGGCTCCAATATTATTACTGTAGATTGGTGGTGTCGTCGTTGGCTTAATTCCTAATTCTGTGAGAAGCGACACAATTCAACAAACTTCAGAGGCCATTTCAGTTACCGCGCGATACTCTGCTTCTGTCGAAGAGCGAGAAATCCCTTTCTGTTTCTTCGAGGACCAAGCAATGGGGTGTTTTTCGTAGTAAACAATATAGGCACAGGTTGAAATGTAATCGTCTTTGTCGCCTCCCCAGTCGGCATCCATATAAGCGTGTAGAGCAGAGGTGTTGGATTTGGGGAAGAACACACCAAGATGCGGAGTTCCAGATAAGTAACGCAGAACTCTTTTAACTGCACCCCAATGTAGGTATGTTGGCTTGTGCATAAACTGTGACATCTTGTTACCAAAGTATGATATGTCTGCTCGCGTGAGGGACAAGTATTGGAGGCCACCCACAAGTGCTTTGTATAACATAGGTTCCTTCATCGGCTGACCCATGCCGCGGCAAAGTTTAGTGTTGGGACACATGGGTGTCGTCACTGGCTTGCACCCCGTGCGGTGGGGCAGGTCTAACAACAATGGTGTTGTGCGGTGGCTTTATTTCGGTAGGTGAGAATCTTGGTGTGGAAGACGACGGAACAGAGTCATGATTGACCGAATTTGGTTGTTGGGTCTTATGATTGGTTGTAGTGATTTGAGTTGTCTCTTGGGCTGGGAAATTTGGTGTAGTAATTTGAGCTGTCTCTTGGGCCTGGGAATTTGATTGAACCTCTGTGAGAGGTGGGACTTGTGTTTCTTCAAGGACAATATGAATCAACGAGTCCGGCAGAATTTGTAACGGTGGCTGTTGTGAGAGACAAATCGGAGAGAACACCACTGAATCAGCTGGAGCTTCATCTGAAAAATTAATTTCAGACAAATAAACACTCCTGATAGGATTAGTGGAAGAAAACAGATAAACATACTCAAGAAAGACAACATGGCGAGACGTATATACGCGTGACATTTCTCGGTCTAAGCAAAAGTAAGCACTTTGTGTTGTGGTATACCCTAAAAAAATACATGGCTTAGAAAGAGAGTCTAATTTGTGTGACGCGTAAGGCCTCAGCCAAGGAAAACATAAACAACCAAATATTTTTAATTTCATACAATTTGGAGGTTTCCCAAAGAGTTTTTGAAAAGGGTTTTGAAACGAAAGATTTGGTGTGGGCATACGATTAATAAGATAAACTGCATTTGCTAATGCATAAGTCCAATATGACTTAGGCATTGACCATGAGACAAGAGAGCAAGGCCGGTTTCGACTATATGTAGATGTTTTCGTTCAGCGATGCCATTGTGCTTAGAGGTGTGGGGTGGAGTAGTGAAGTGTGAGATACCATTAGTTGATATAAAATCCTCTAAGGCAATAAACTCTCCACCATTGTCAGTATACAAGGTTCGTAGCTTTCACTGAAATCGATTTTCAACCAACGCTTTGAACTTCGTAAAAACTTCATAAACTTGTGATTTTGGTTTTAATAGATAAAACCAAGTATATCTAGTAAAATGATCAACAAAAATAACATGGTATGTGAAATTATCAACCGAAATGATAGGTGAAGTCCATACATCGGAAAACACAATATCAAGCGGTTTGGTTGAGGAAAGTGTAGAGTTTGAAAACGGAAGCTTATGCATTTTATTAATAGAACAAGCATCACAAGGCTTGTTTAATAAAACATTTGAAGATGAAAACTAGAAATAGTCTTTTGAAGAATATAAATTGCTGGATGGCCTAATCTGGAATGCCAATCCGAAAATGATGCCTTAACGACAGAAGCATAAGCAAGAGATGGTGGTTTGCTTGCTCTGTGTTTTGGCCATTCATAACTCCCGTCTCTAGGTTTGACTTCCAGACAGAGCGCCCCCGTAATCAGATCTCAGACCTGAAAGTATGTGTAAGTAAAGGTAACAACAAGACCATTAGAAGAACAGATTGAAAAGCAGAGACTAAGTTTTTATCAAGACTAGGTACGCATAAGACAATATTAAGTGTAAATGGCGAAGTGAGAGATGTGTTGTATCCATCACCGAGAATGACGTCGTCACCACCATTGTATGGTGAGTGGAGAGTAAGATTGCTAAAGTCGGAGGTCATATGGTGAGAGGCACCTGAGTCTACCAGCCACGTAGACGTATCAGAGGAGGGAACCATGGCGACATGAGCTCGCGGCTGCCACGTCTGATTGGGATATGAAGGTTGCCAAGGTTGTGACGGCTGGGAGGCTTGCCACGGAGCTGACGGAGTACCGCGGACAATACGATATTCCGGGAAATATTGGCACTATGGCCTAGTGTGCCACACGCATGACATCGACCTAAGTAGCGACCACGAGTGTTGTTGCTAGGATGTTGTTGAGTGTGATTGTTGTTGCCTCGGTTGTTGTTATTGGACCGCCAGTTCGTTTTGTGTTGGTTTTGTTAGCGTGGACGTGTGTCAGCAGCATTTGCAGTAATAGGACCAGTTTGAGTAGTCTCTTCTTTGCACTGGATCATTGCTTCTCGCTTAAGTAGCCTTTCATGAAGCTCAAAAAAGGAGACAGGGGTATATCTGCATTGACATCATCGATTTCAGGCTTGTAATCATCAGATAAACCAGCCAAAATCTGTTCGGTGAGATCCTCCGGATCAATGGGCTTTCCCAGCAAGGCGAGATCATCCGCTTTCCCTTTGATGATGCGGAGATACTCGCTAATAGTTTTGGTACCCTTCACGCCTTAAGTTGATACTTCAGTTGTCTGATATGCCCTCTTGTTGGTTTGCCGTAGGTCGAAAGAAGAATACTCCAGATCTTGCTAGTTGTTGTTGCCGTCGAGACAACTGATTGGATCAGAAGCAAAATCGCACCAATTAAGGCGCTATACAGTAGTCGATCTTGACGCCTCCATGGCGGATAGGCCGGATTGGGGACGTTGGTACCGTCGACAGTGATGGTCTGTGACGGCACTGCAGGGAATTATGCAATGTAAAACCTAACCATCTGTAAAACCTGTTGCATAAGATTTTGAGTTATATAAATTGACATTTTTTAATAAAACAATATGGGAGTAAAATCTCATCCCACGCAGGACGCATGTCCAACTCTAGTTTTACATTATAAAATATGTATTTATTTATTTGATCAGTTTTATATTACGACCAAGAATGCTCGAAAGAAACTAGAGGAGTATCACCAACCTAAATACCGAAAACTTCCCTCTCGTCTCAACCCTTCCATTTCTTCAATGTGGGCAGTAGAAACTCTATAAATTAATAATGTCGGGACTTTGATATTTTATTAATTTATAGAGTTATTAATTAATTGACTCAAAAAAAATTGATAAATTTTTTATCAATTTTCATTTATATAAAATAAGTAATTTTCTTTAAAAAGTAAATTTGCTTAACTTTTTTTCTTTTATATTTCTATATTTACTCTACATCTCTAATATATAAAAAAGAGAAAACACTAACTAAATAACTTTTGTCTAATGTGTTATTAACAAGAATGTCATTGCTTAGGTGTTATTATTAGGTTCACTCTTAGAGCAATTTCTAATTAAGATAAGCTTTACAAGACAAATTACAATATATGCCATTGTATATTATGCTTACAACCAAATAATGAAATTAAATTTATCATTCTCTTTCCTTTATTGGCAACTACGAAAATTAGTAAATAAAGAAGATATGAGATTCAATTTAATTCCATCATAATAATTTCTTTTAAAATCAGTATACATCTTCTATCATTTTGTTTAAATTTATTTAATAAAATAATTTTGAATCACAATATAAAAAATCTATCAAACAAAAATCTAAAACTTTTTCAGTACATGTTATGATTTGAATTTTTAAAAACAAAATAATATAAAGCATGTTTTAGTTTTGAAAGAAAGAAAAAAATTAGTTCTAATCCGTGTCCACACAGCTAAAACTTTTTATCTTATGAAATACATGATGTATTATTTTTCTAAAGAATAATGTTTTATTTTCAATTTTTTCTTTACACTATCTTATTATATTATAGTTATTTTTATGTATCTCTGTTAGATCTATCATATTTAATTTGTGGTTACGATCAATGATTTAATTTATTTCTTTTTTAAAAATGGATTAAAATGCCTAATTTCCATAATATAAACGAATAACAAAGGTCAAAAATCTCTCCCATAAATTTTCGAAATATTTAAATAAATATTTTTTAAATAAAAATATAAATTCAGAAACTATCACCCCGTGCAGGGCACGGGTCAAACCCTAGTTTTTTTCCTATTTGACATATTAATATAATTTCTTTAGATACGGTTACGCGTAAAAAGACACTTATTGTGTTTAGAACTCTTCATAATTTGAAAATACAACATTGGAAATTTTTTGATGTGATAAGAAATATTAGAGACTAATTTCAAAAGAAATAAAACAAACGGCATTACATTTATATTTACGTTAACTTATATATATATATATAATTTTTTATATGATAATTATGAATTTATGATATTATTGGGACCACAATTTGCATAAGAGTTTAAAAAAAGTTATTATCTTATTATCTTATCGAATCGTGTCATATTTTACACTGGCCCGACTTGGGACCGAAAGATTTTATTAATTTATTGTGATTATTAATTTATCGAGTATTAATTTATAGAGTTTCTATTGTATATTGTTTATGACCTATGTTTTTTCTTTCGTTAAAAGTTCAAACCAACAAATTAAAGATATCTTCTATATTTGTTTGCTTTCAAAAATTTCATATAAAATAATTCAATTTTGAAAACTTGCAAAAAAAAATTATTATTCTTGAGTATATATTATGGTCGAAAACTAAAAAAAAAAAACAAATTGTTACCGTAAAGGTGAATGGGATTACACATCACTCCATAACAAATACACATTACTATTTCAATAAAAATTAACAAAATAGTCTAGAGTTAAACTTTAACTCCTAAAAACTAAATTCTCAATTCAAAAAATTAAACCCAAAGCCTAAAATCATAAACCCCAAAAAAGAAGAAGTTAGTTTTAAACCTAAAAATGTAATTTTAATTGAAAATAATGTATTTTATATTCTGAAAAATATTTATATCAAATATCTTGGTAAATAGAAAAAAGGGTATGTGAGTGAACATAATATCGCAAATCTTTTTAAATAACTTTCGTTTGTTTAATTTTTTTTATGATGGTATGTGTGGAAAGAACAAAAAATCTAAACCTTTTAGTAGGTGCATGGATTTGAATCAATATACCTCAAGAGATCGAAGGAAAAAAATGTTAGAGGAAATGCATATTTTAAAATACATGAAAAACTTAAAAAAAAAACACTGATTGACTAATCTAATACAAATCGCACTCATGTAAGATTGTATCCATTAATCTGTATAAATAATTAACAAATTGCACTCATCGGGACTCGAAACCCAAACCTCTTGATGTAGAAACATTAATTCCATTAATCAACCACGGTAAGGGGCTTCCACAATACACAAAAGGCTGAAAAGGAGAAAAAGATAATTGAGTAATCTTTTGACGGAATTCCATTTTTGACATTTTTGGCATATGGAAGTTAACATTACAGCCTGGAAATATTATTGTTGACCAACAGCTTATCTACATTTAATGACTCACACTTACCACGAATGAGTAAATATTGTATCTTGTAAATTGTCATTTACCTTGATTTGAATTCCCTTCTAAAAGATAAATATTTATCTATTTATATTCACATATTATCTTTGTGAAGTTCCAATAACTTGTTTTCCTAGGATTTTGCTTAAGTTTTCATCCATTCGTGGTTTTCAATTTCTTTCTTCTGTATTTGTGAAATCAGTCAAAATCTTTTCCGATTTCATACCCAGATCTAGTTAGTTTGTTTTAAAATCATCATTTGAATCAATTCGGTATTGAAATGGATTTTTCATTGAATATTTCCAAAGAAGATTCGATCATAAATAATGTTCGTTGTTCTCTAAATGATGATGATTTAGTTTATCTACATAAAGATCATCTTAATTTTTTCAACGATAACTTAGGCCAATCTTCTTTCACTGGATGGTCTTCTTCACCGATTTTGAATAGTATTTCTGATTCATATAATCGAAATATGATACCACTAATCCCAATCCAAAATTCCAATCCCCCCAATCAAAATTTGGTTACTACTCAAAATCTTCCAGTTTAAAATTCCTACTCGACGAGTGATACTTTTGAAAAACCTATGTATACTATTAACAACCAAAATTCGATACATTTTCATGATTATCAGGGAGATACTATGTGGAGTGATACCATGCACAATAAAAAGGTTATCACTAGTGGCTATGAGTCATCACTTGATAAATTTATGGTTAAATCTCATTCATTTGATCTTCAGGTGCCTGACGGTGTTAAAGTTACAACTAAAGAGATGAGAAAAGCCGATCAAAAGAAGAGCCTCGGAGTGGTGAAGGGAGGTAACTCTTCTAAGAAACCCAAAAAGAGATGGACTGCTGAAGAGCACAGGCAAGTATTCTTATTTTTTACGCTTAATAAAATAAGGAATATTTAATTTCATCCTCAGATTCTCATAAGTAATTTTTTTTTCTATCTATCCTTTTTTTTTGACAACTTTTTCTTTCTATCTTTTATGATATTTTTAAGGATGTTATATTAACTATTTGTTAAAACATGCATATATATATATATATATATAAAGTTGGAAGACCAAGTGAAGTTTTATGGGGTCCAAGATTGGACATTGATAGCAGAACATTTAGTAGGACGAACAGGAAAACAATGTAGAGACAGATGGAAGAACCATATATGTTGTGATTTTAAGTTACTTTTTCGAAATCCGTATCCTTCTACATAATTTTTATAAAGTGTATAGATCTTTTTCATATACAAATAAATAATCGTCATATATTTGTATTTACGTAACTTTAAAAACAAAAATGCAAAATGTAATCGTTTTATTTCCCCCCGTCAATCAATACTTACATGCATACAATAATATGAACATGATATCTAATATGTGTGATTTCAGCGAGGTCCATGGAGTGAAGAGGAAGATCAGATATTGATTGAAGCTCATAAGACTGTTGGCAACAAGTGGTCAGAGATTTCCTTTGACCTCCCAGGAAGAAGCGAAAATACTATTAAGAACCATTGGAATTCCACATTGCACCTGAAGCTCTCAAAAAATCCACTCAACGACAGCAAACTTAAAAGCTACATAAGGTCTGTCACAATCAACAATGACCCTCCAAAGGATACTTCTGACGGGAAGGATAACTTTTGTATGGACGCGGAAACACAAACAGGTGAACCATCAATCAATGCGTCTACATCATCATTTTCAGAGCCAATAACATTTTCATGGGATGATTATCTTACAAAGGTTTGTGAATCCGTTAACTTTGATATGTTTATCAATTGGTGGAAGTAATTTGTTATAAAATGTAAACTTTGATGATCTCAGTATTTTCTAATTATCATCTAAGATAGTATCCATCTATCTGTCTTTTGCATAAAAATAAATGTTTTGTTATTTGGTATATCATATGAATATGCAATTTAACTATTTAAGTATTTATTATATATGAGAAACTCATAATACTAAGACAATTTCTGTTTGTCATGTTAAATATTTTCTAGAGAAACTGTGAAAAACACTAAGGGAAACATGTGTTTTCGGAAATACAATGAGATTGAAATTTAGTTAACAACGCGAACTAATTTGTCAGAAATAGGCTAAAATAGCGACGAATAGCCGTCAGAAAAATAACGAGCTTACTTTTACTATCCGTCGTAAATATGTTGTTAGAGGTTTCATCGTTAGATTGTCGTAAAATATCATCGTCGGTAATTTACGATTATTTAACAATGATCTGAGAAATTGGTAATTTATAATTTTGTCCTTAATCAATCATAAAGTTGACACAATATTCTACGTATTATTGTAATTTTTTTTTTAAATTATAAAATAAAATAAAATATTTAATATTCAAATTTCTCGAGCCGTTATGCCCACCGTGCGGGTGCTAAAAACAACACTCAAAATTTGTATGTTTTTCAAGGAAGAAACTTAGGAAGATTTAGATGTAGATTTTGATGTAAGTTGAATGATTCATAAGTAAGGATTTATCAAAAAGGTATTTGTATAAAACAATGAAAAATGTTACAAGAAATCTCTAAAGAGAGGAAGAACTAATTCTCAAGGAAGAATACAAGATGAATCAGAAAGAAGAAGGTAGTTTTTATGTCTAATTCGGGTGAAAAAATGATATTAAAGTCGTCCTTCGATCTGACTGACGTCCAGATCCTTTTATAGCTTCAGAAGCAGCTACGAACCACCTCCCCTTCTCTCGCCATGTGCAGCTAACAATCCTGGTGATCTTGGGCCAAACCGGATTCGAATAAGATCCCGTTTGACTTCGTCTTTCTTTGTCACGACGGCCTGGTCCTTGATCGAGCTGGAGCTCATCTTTACGTCGACCAAAATAGCTCGGATGTTCATTAACTGGGCTATGACTAAGATGCTTGGTAGCTCATGGTCTTCCTTCTGGGCTTGAGTGGACATGGACTCTCAATCTAGATCAAGGTAATGGGCCTTAGAGCACACACAACGGAGAGACTGAGAGCGGCTCTGGAAAAAAAATAAAAAATAAAGAAAAAACAAATTAATTAATGATGTGGCTTGCCATGTGGGGAGTTTCTATCAGAACCGTCTCTCTGCGAGACTGCAAAGTCGTCTCTCTGACACAGTCCTACAGGTGTCAAGATTTGATTGGATCGTTTCTTTTTTAACTTTTTTTTTTTAAATATGTTTTTCTAGAAAATAGTTTTTCTTTTATTATTAAAAAATGTTAAAGAGTTAGAGTGAGTCTCTCCATTATATGTGCTCTTACTGGCTGAATTACAGGTGTGGAATATGAATCCAACACACTGTATATTAAATTAATATTCATATAGTAGATGCAGTCAATCTCGGGGGTGCTCATTTCCACCGTATGGACAGTGCGGCCAGGTGATTATTTAGAGCGTTATGTTTGTTCCTCGACAACCCATGCATTCACATTGTTCCAGATTTCCTCAGCTCTCGGGGTTACATAGCTATTGATGGGAGCACGCTTCTGTTCTCTGTGGCCTAGAAATTAAACAATTTATAATCCTTTAATATACAAAAATAATTGCTTAATTATAGTTAAAGTTAACAAAAATGAAATTAAAGCACTTACATTCGCTAAACGAATTCCTGCAAACGGCCAGACGCCACGTGTGAAGGATTGCCACAGGTTTACCATTCAGGCAACCATTTAAGCTGGCCGCAGAGCATTATGACTAGATTTCGATCGAGTGTGGATCAAGCCAGATCCAAACCAAGCGTTGCTGTAACATCCGTAACCCATTTTGGAGAGTTTTGGAAGTTGCGTCAGGTGACGCAAGATGTGCGTCGATCGACGTAATAACTGTAAAATCGGTTCAGTTCGATTTAAGTGATCCGGTTTAGCTGGTTTTAGGCAGAAAAGCCCTAGAACTCGATTTAAAAGTGCTGCAGCCGCGTTTTGAGCTCAGTTTTCGAGGTGTACTTTGGCAGAGAAGAGAAGAGACAATTTTAGAGAGATTTTTTTGTTTCTGGGTCAGATTGTTGCTGTTCTTCGTTGCTTCATCTCTCTTTCCTCTTACAAATCCGTTTTTAAGGTGAGTGCATGATCATAGGCTCGTGAATCTCTAGATTTTAATTTTTTGGTTGAGTTTATGATGAGTTCTTGTTGGGTTTATGTTTGAGTTGAGTTTATGGTCGATTCCGGGTGTTGAATCCCCTTAATTTGTTGTTTCTGTGCGATTTTGTTATTTTGGATTTCTTTCTGCGAGTCTGCATCGCCTGACACAAGAGTAAACTGTTTGGTTTACCCTTTATTTGATGTTTATTGGTTGTTTAGTTTTCTAGTGTCTCACTTAATTGGTTTATAGGTGGGATGATTCTCTCACTAAGTATTTATGATAATACTTATGCAACTCTTTCGTAATGTGTTGCAGGTGAAAAGATTATGTGATCGCCGAATCAAGACTACAGAATAGGATGATAGAACTTTATTGTTTTGCATTGTTTAAGTTTCTAGTACATGGTGTTTAGGTTGCTAGTATTCTTTTATTGACTTATGTTATTTGCTTCCGCTGAATATTGATGTTTGATTATTATTTATTTTACTTATTTAAAAGACTTTCGTTAGAATTGTTTATGAAAAAAATAAAAAATAATAAAAAAACTTGGTTGTTTCAGTTGCCCAACACCAAGTTCGATGAAAATTGGTTCTGCAGCATTGCCCTTTTGCGTTCCATTTCTTTTCCTAGTCGGAGACGGTGTTGTTTATACACAACTTGGCTTTGTTTCAAAATTTGCATTCACCTCTTCATTAAGATCCTTATTCCAATTGTTTCGTTTCTAGAAATTATTGAATCAATGATTAAAGTATATTAAATAATTAAATAATTTGCGAAACATTTTTCCAAACATTTTTCACCATATGACTTTGATATCTTGAGAGACCTGAGACCCATTTGATATCTTGTAAAACCGTAATTAAAAAATTGTTACTAAATTGATGGGAAAGTATAAAATAATTATTGAAATTGGGTATTAAACATTTTTAATTTTCTTTATATACCATAATGTGCCGGGATTTTTTACATACCACAATATGCAAAAACAATTTACATACCACATTTTTAGTTATGAAGCAAGCAATACGTCTACTGTCATACCATCATATGTGCATACAATCATAGTAGACGAGACGGAAGTGGTTGCTCTTGCGGTGGTAGTGAAATAACCCTGCAAGTACATTTGCGGAACCATTGTGGTGGTGAAAAATAACCCTGCAAGTGCATTTGTGGAACCACCGTTTCTGAAGTAGAACGATGAGTATTATCGGAATCACTGTTCCATTGCCTACAACCATTATTCATGAAAGGATTTTATTGGTGTAAATTGATGAATGATATGAAATATGATATGTGATGTATGGATGCAAGTGAAGGTCGAATGAGATGGTATGAACATATGCAATCATAGTCAATCAATTCTTTTTTATCATCATAGTCAATATAATATAAGAGGTTATCAATCCAATTGGGTAGGTTGTTGCTGTATGAGAATCTGCAAATACTTGAAAGTCAAGCCAAAATGGAAATGGGGATGGAAGTAACAACTAGCAACCTAAAGATGAAATGAAATGCAAGTAAAACAGTAATGCAGATGTAAACAAGGCGGTAAATGCATGAAATAAACAAAAACAAGTAAATGCAAAGCAGCTCGACCTAGAGCTCGATCGAGTAGAAACAGAGCAAATGAGTTTGATCGAGTTGAGGGTCGAGTTAGTGTAAAAACAGAGGAATGCGAAGAAAAACGATAAAGATGCAAACTTTAAGCTAATAAGATGAAGATTAGGGTCAAAGACGGGGTTTTGCAACTAAAGGAAGCCTATACTTAATCAACCTTGCTCTTAAACAACTTGAACTCAAGATATCTCTTGGTATTGAACTTCTCAAGCCTTGCTAACCCTTTCCAAAAGTGAAAGCAATCATCTAAGGCAAGATCTCATAAACAGGGGATCAGCCAGTGAGATCAAGCATTGAAGGCCTTAGAACCTTTGTTCAAACTCACCCTCTTAAGCAAAAGTTTTGTTTAGTTCGTGGCTCAAGCCTTTTTATAGCAAAGGAAACTAGGTTAAGGGTCAAAAGAAAGTCAAAGGAAAGGCATAAATTTTGGTTTTGACTATGGAAAAGCAGCTCGATCGAGTTGGGAATTGTCCGGTCGAGCTAGTGCAAAGTCTGGAAAGTTTGGCCTAGCTCGACCGGTGGGTCCCGCGGGTTGGTCGAGTTGGGCTTAAAGGTGCCTCCTTTCTTCATCTTGAGCTGTGCGGTCGAGCTGAGTCCCATGCAAAGTCTTTCCTTGCTCCTCAAGTCTTAAGTGCTTTTTAATGCTTCAAAAAGATCTGTTTAAGGATCAAACATGCACATGTATGCAAATGCAACCCTAAAATTACAATGTATGCAAAATAAGATGAAAGGAACAAGATATGATGCTAAAGATGAATAAAATTATGCAAAAGATGCATAAAAGATGTATAAAACCATGTGAAATATGAGTACATCAATTATCAATCATGAAATGATGATAATAGTGGTTTTGGCGTAAAGGACTCATAATCTTTTTTTTGTTTTTTTTTGTTTTTTTGTCAATAGCCTCTGTTTCTACAACTCAGAAATCCAAGTTGGAGAACAGAGTTTACATAATACACACTAGTAGGTAGAGCTCGAGCACTCCGTGCTAACTTGTCTGCCTTCGTGTTGTTTGTTCGTGGACCTGCGTGATGGAGAACGAAGAAAAACGTCTTCTGCAAATATCTATTTCTTCCAATAGTACCGCAAAAACTGGCCACTCCTCTGGTTTAGCACCATCTGTACCACGTCGGAGCAATCTGTTTCAAATACCATTACAAGCTTGTTGTGACGTAACATACATTGCATTGCCCATAACAGGGCCTCCACCTCTGTTTGGAGAGAAGAAACTCCCCTCCACAGATTACATGTTCCCAAGAATACTTCCCCTGTCTCCATATTGTAATTGTACCATCCTAATCCCGCTCGAGGGTCCGTTTCTTTCCATGCGCCATCTACCTGGCATCGATCCCCCCGAAAACCTGAGTTCACCGTATCTGCCGAAGGCAGCCCTACGGCGCCCTGACGTGTCTGAGCTAGCGCCATGCCGATGCCTCTGCCGCCGCATGATTGATGATCTCATATGGGTCCCAATCCCCGTTAGAGAAAACCTTATCATTACGGGCTTTCCATATGAACCAAATTAACCAAGGATACATCTCATCCTATCATCGTCCGGTAAATTCCAGAATAGGTGTGCCATATTCGTGAAGAGACCTTCTGTTGGAAACCGGTTGACAGCTGTTGGGATTGGGGATAAGCCCAAACCTGTAAGGCCGGAGGACATTCAAAACCATATGGTTAATCGTTTCCGCCGCCATACCACAGCGCATACATTGTGGATCTGTCTGTATACCACGACTCCTTAACGTGCTCCCACTGATATACACCCCGTTAAGATTTGCCATAGGAAATGTTGAAGTTTTTGGGTGCAAGGAACTTTTCCATGCTGTGCCTGAAGACGACGCACGTCTGGACCAAACTGTATCATGTTGTCAGCCTCCATAGCTTCTTGGGCAATCGTATACCCTGATTTGACTGTGTATCGCCCTGTCTTCGTATAAACCATCCCCACGAGTCCGGTCTATCCGCTGTGAGGTTGGAATCCCCATTATAAGGGATACATCCGTCTGTCAAAAAGTTGTTTTAATAGTGGAAGATTCCACGTTGATTTTCGGGTGTCATAATATCCCGCACACGGAGGTGCGGGTAAAAATGTATCCCGTTTCCTTTTGCTGACCTCGGGCGAGATGCTGGAATCCAAGGATCATCCCAAACTGAGATAGACGATCCCGAACCAACTCTTTTGATAAGCCCTTTGTTAACCAGAGGTAGCCGATACAATACTCTGCCACCCATAGGAAGGAGAGTAGGATTTGATGGGGTCCAAAGGAGTGGCATTCCGGTAATAACGTCCTTTAAAGACCCGTGAGAAAAAGCGATTCTGGATTATCCATCAGACGCCAAGTTGTTTTGCCAACAACGCTGTGTTAAAATCCTCAAGAACCCTAAAACCCAAGCCTCCGTCGCTCTTATGACGACAGAGTTCTTCCAAGCCAACCAATGCATCCCTCTCGTTTGCCCATTGTTACTCCACCAGAAATTTGATACCGCACTAGATAACTTATTAGTAACTCCTTTAGGCAATCGAAAGCAGGACATCACATGCATAGGCATTGTCGAACCACCGATTTTATAAGAACCTCCTTGCCCCCTTTGGACAACCATTTTGAGTTCCATCCATTTATCTTCTTTTGCTGTCTGTCTATAAGAAAACTGAATATCTTTGTCTTAGCCCCCCTTAAACTCTCTGGTATACCTAGATATGTCCCCACTCCCCCAATTTTCTCAATCCCCAGAATCTGGTGAATTTCCTCCTTTACCCCTGCATCCACCGTATGTCCGAACTGTATCGAGGACTTAGCAAAATTAATTTGTTGCCCAGAAGCTCCCTCATACTCCTTAACAGTCTCAGCAAACCCGACTCTCAGCAGTATTGGCCTTGCAAAGAAAAGACTATCATCGCAAAAGTAAATGGGAAATCGCTGGACTTGCCGAGCCACTTTAAGCCCTGTAATTTCCTTCAAATCCTCTGCTTTCTTAAGATTTGTGATCAGAATCTCCGTACAAAGGATAAACAGTAAGGGGAAGTGGATCCCCTTGTCTAAGTCCCCTGTGTGGTGTTATTTGTCCCCGTGGGCTTTCCATTAATCAAACTTTATATTTTACCGAGGTGATGCACCTCATCATCCATGTGATCCACTTCTCAGCAAATCCCATTTTCCGCATCAAAGCCTCTATGAAAGGCCATTCAACCCGATCATAAGCCTTGCTCATATGTCTTCACTGCCATATACTTCCCTTTACATGATTTATTTGTCCTCAGCCCATGAAACATCTCCTGAGCTATCACAAGATGTTATCAGAGATAGGCGACCTGGTACAAACGCAGATTGGGTCTCCGAAATCAATCTTGGTAGGAGCACCTTTAGCCTCTGGCAGAGAACCTTCGAGATAATCTTATAACCACATTACACAAACTTATTGGCCTAAGTTCCGTCATCCTGGTAGGTCGTTCCGATTTTGGGATAAGACAAATATTGGTCATATTTAGTCTTTCATCAAAAAACCGGAGATCAGAAAATCGTTCACCATCGTAATACATCCTCCTTAACAATGTGCCATGATCGTTGAAAAAATAGAGCCGTCATACCATCTGGTCCAGGTGCTTTTCTGGATACATCATAAAAAGTGCATCGCGTACTCTGTTTCTGTCGCACGCCGAGTCAAAACCTCGTTTCTGTTGCCGTGACTTCTCTGTCACATGACTGAGAATACCCGTAAAGTCTGTTGGCGTAATGGAAGTAAAGAGATTGTCAAAATAGGAACTGCCACTTTTTCAACCTCATTTTCTCCAGCTACCCAGACATTTGCATCATTATGTAAACCCACTATGCGGTTAACCGCTCGTCGCTTTTTGTAGAAGCATGAAAAAACTTTGTATTTAAATCCCCATCTTTTAACCATATGTTTCGACTTTTCTGTTTCCAAACTTTCCTCATCTCGATATGCCTCCTTTAGTTTATTAGTTATCGCATTAGTTCCTCATGGGTACTATGGTCATCCTCCTGGAGGCTTCCAGTGCAGCCTGTAGCTCCGCGATTTTCTCCTTTTCCATATGGTTGGTTATTTTTCCTCCACACTGAAATTTCATGAACGACACTGCTGTATTCTCTCAACTAGATTCGGCGGTTTCCGCTCCCCGAATTATTCCACCCTTGTCTATAGAATCTAAAACCATCCAATCCAATCCACCGTTTGTCAAACCGGAACTGCTTCCTCCTCTTGGAATCTTTGTATCTAAGTAGCCACACTATTGGTCGGTGGTCAGAACCAATCATTGCTAAATATTCCACATGAGAAAAAGGAAACAAATCATGCCACTCTTCTGTAGCTAGTGCTCTGTCCAAACGACACCTCACTAATTTCCCACTTCGTCTACCTTTCCATGAGAGTTTGTTACCCCGACTTGAAAAATCCACAAATCCACAATCACTTATCATCAAATTAAAGGGATATAAGATGAGGCCTGGCGAAGTTTGCCTCCTTTCTTCTCATGATTTCCTGTAATCTCATTAAAATCTCAGACAACACATAATAGATTTCTAATTCTACAACACATATGTAAAATTCACAACTTACATATGAACTTGGCTGAAACAACGAATATGAGAATATTAGTTAATTGGTTTGGCTTATAATCAATTATGATGATTTAGGATTTTGATTTACGACAAAAAAAACCGACGAAATGGCTTTTTTTTTCTTCTTTTTTTTTTTCTCGTATTGATTTCGTAAAAACATTTTCACAAGCACGCATTTTCAGTGCCAACCATATTTTTTTGTGTAATTCGGAACATTATAAGTTTATAACAAATTTACAACGACTTTGTACATATCGTTGTAAATACATCGTAAACAGCATTGAATTTACTTCAGTTTGTCGCTAAGACGTTGTAACTAACGACGGGGTTACATCGACTTAAGTGTGTTGGAAAGTGTCCATATTTTTTTCTATAAAAGGAGCAATACCCCTACCATTCTCACTCACCCCTTCACATGTTTCCTCTACTCAGTTTATTTCATGCCAAATTCTCAGAATTTTCTAAAGATTTTGCTTGGGATATTCCTTGACCTAGATTTGAGAAAAAAAAATACTGAAAATTCAAATCTGTTACAAATTTACGACCCAACTCTTTTTTAAAAAACACATAGCTGGTTAGAAGTTTTTCCTCAAATCTTGATGTCTTAAAGAAAATGTTTACATTTAGTGGAAAAAAATAACTCTGATCTAGATTTGAGAATTAAAAAAAAAAAGAGCCGGCACATAGCAATGATGTGAAACAAAGCAGAGTATGAAAACTGGAAAAAAAAAAACAACATCAACCTCCTAATGCTAAGGAGAAAAGGATGTTAATAACGTAAAAAGAACTAAAAGCAACAAGTTTACAATGATTTGGTTGATTTTGTTGTAAATTCGACGACAATTCATGAAACATTTCATAATAAGATATCAAAACAAAAACCAATTCATGAAACATTTCTATCCTTTCTTTATCAAACATTTCTATCCTTCATTTACTTTAGAGTCTTAATGTGTTGGTCTATGATATCAAACCTTAATCATAATAAGATAGAGTAGCAGGTTGATTTTTCGATACTAAAATAGAAAATTTAATGAGTAAGTTAAAATCAAATTTATATTTACATACCAAAAAAAAGAGAATCATTAATAACACCATCACTTATTATTCATACGATGTATATTGTTTGTTTCAATATAATAGTAAGTATTTCACTGTGTACTATATCATCAAGGTTCTTGCTTGAAGAAAACCGAAGGAAACATCTCCTTCAAAAGCTCATACTCACTCTCATGATGAAACTCTTGGTTTTGTTGTTGAGGATAGTTTGGGTTTACATTCACACTAGCGTATGGCGCACGGAAGAGATCATCACGTGAGAAGCTTCTCGGAGTATTGATGATGAAATCGGAAACTGGAGACAGCGACGATGAGTTATGATCAGGTGCGGCGGATCCAGCGAACATTGCCGTGCGGCGACTGGTCGGGATCGGATGGTTGTGTTGACTTTCATAGGTGGTGATCACGACCGTTGGATCTTGATAAGATCTCTCAACTCTCTTCTTCACGTTGCACTTCTGCGTCGTGCATCTATAGTAACTCCTGTTAACGTAATCAACATATACACATTGTCTTAGCATGCGACTTGTAATGTCGGTTACAAATTAAAATTTATAAACAAAATTGATGACCTTTTAAACAATGTCAGAATCTTATATATACTGTATGTTGTAGAAAATATGATAATTGGTAAATAGAGGCAAAATTTCACCCAAAAAAAAACTTGACTTGACCAAAATATATTTTTCGACGTATATTTTATTTTTCTTTTAGAAACTGAAACTTTAATAATAAATAATTGAAGTGGATGATATTTATGTATATATATGTTAATATGAACAATCATCACATGAGTTAAAAAATATATAAAACCGATAGACAATTCAATATTCAAAACTGAACAAATTATCAATAAAGAAAAAATAAACCTAAAAATTCAACATACAAGAAAATCTTACACCTTCAATGGTTGTCGAATAAGAGAAAATTTAATTTGGTTTTACTTATTTAAATAAAAAACGTTAGGAAAAACTAAACAAAATGTTTTTACTAATTAAGAACATCAAAATGTTGTTTCACGGGAGTGGAAAACAATGATTTTATTATTATTGTTTATATGGCCTGAAAAACAATAATTTTGAGATTTTAAAAGCCAAAATCTACATTTATTCAACATTTCATTAATTTATTATACTTGTTGTTTCTTTCATATATACATAACCAATTGAGTTACCTCGGATAAGGACTGTTTTTGACTGCTTTTTGGCCGTACTTTCTCCAACGATAGCCGTCTTCGAGATGATCAACTTCGGTCTTAGTCATAAACGAGACCCGTGGCTCTCTTTGCTTCTTCTCATCTTTCTTCTTCGTTTTAACTCTGAACCATATATATATACATTAGTTAGCTAAATTAATGCTTATAGATTGGACCGTTTTATAATTAATGATACCTACCATACAATTGACTTTGAACTATAGTTAAAATGCCAAGCACCAAATGATTGTTCGGACTTAGGAGTTAGGACACAAGTAATACAATAATTTTAGGTGGTAGTCTACCGAAAGTAGGACTATCGTCTTTTTATTTAAGCTGTTCTTGAGGGGGTAGATAATTCATCAATACAGGTAAAAACAAATGAATAAATAATTGTAGAATCACACTAAAATTCCTATATATAAAAATTTACGCATGACAGAAAAATAAGTAAGCTTTTGTGATTGAAATAATTTATTTATCCTTCTTCCAAATATGAAATTGGCATTCTAGCTAAACATGTTAAGGTCAAATTACATTTTTCACAAGTACATATTAATAAGTTTCATTAGAAAATCATTAGCTAAAGAAAATCATTTTCAAGGAAAACGACGATTTTTGATTGGCCCTAAAAATGAAAAAAAAATGCGTTTTATATCTTTAAAAAAGCAAGGTTATGTGTTTAGTTAGAGAAAATAAAAATTGTTGGTGATAAAAACATTTGCTTTGATGAAACATTTGCTTTGATGATTCATGTGATCTCCAAATATTTATCTTGCTTAAATAAATAAGATTTAACTACTAAAAGGACTTATAAAACTTACACTTTTTGAGAGCGTTGATCATCTTCTCCTCCATCGGCAGCTTCTCTTTTCCTAAGGCTCTTGCCGGAATCTTCGCCGTGATGATGATCGGCCTCACTCGAAGAAGGAGATGCAGGATCCCTAGTTTCACCCTCAACGATTGCACTACCACCACCAACAACTTCATGACTCTTGTGACTGTTATTATAATTATAACCATTATAAAAACCGTTTTCTTGATCGATCGAAGGATTAAAATACTCGCTGGAAGGTGGCGAGAGCTCGAAACCCAATTCGTATGCTCCTTGAGGACTTGAGTGTAGATCAGAACCGATTTGTGATGAGATCATGTTTGCATTATAGGTAGACGGACCGGTAACGTAAGGGAGATTAATAATATTTTGGTTGTTGAAGTTGTTGTTGTAGTGACTATACGGTGAAGTGTAGTGATAGTTGTGAAGATCTTTGGTCTCATTAGCCATAAGGAAGAACAAGGAAAGGAACTTTAAACCAAAAACAAAGAGAGGAGCTTGAAGAAAACGAAGAGAGAAAGAAAGAACGAGAAACAGAAGCACTTTTTACGTTTATGGTTTTTTTAGTCGGTCTAAATTTGGGTGTTAAGACTTTTGGGTCTTCTCGTATTTATGCCTTTTGAAAAATATATACTATTTAATATTTCTTGTGTTTTAAAAATATTAGTATTTTATTAATAAACAAATATCTTTAAAGTACTAAGGTTGAACGATGTAGTAATCGAGTGTGAATGATTAAAAAAATTTGGAATTTGAATGACTTTTTTATCATTAAAAAAACGAAAAGCTTGTTTTATATAGTTTTTTATTTTATTTTATGAAGTTGAGTTGACGAAAAGCATTTTACCTCCCAAATGGAGAGTTACAAAAGTGGCGTCGAGTAAGGAGACATTACGTGGTTTTGTTTATTAAATGTTTAATGTGAACATCATGAACAAAAAAGAAGAAAAGAAGAGCCATTTTGATCATAGAATAGAGTTCTTTAAATTCTCTGTTCATCAAATAAAATTATTTTTTTTGGAAATGTAGATAAAACACGAGGTACATACTTGGGTGCTTTTTGTATTCTACTTTTCTTTTTGGGTCTTAAAGTAAGATCTGAAAAGTTATTACTAATATTTACCACTTTTTGATATGAAAGAAGAAGATGGGAACAATCTTGAGGACGAAGCCGATGACTAATTGTTAACCGGTGACCAGAAACCGTCAGTTTCCGGTCACCTGAGCAAGTCAAACATTCAGACGAAGAAATGTAACAAAGGTGAAACATTGTAAGGTCGTTAGAATGACACGTGTTCTATGTTGGCACCGGCGTTTGACTGTAACCGACACATGACCTGGCACGTGGTGGTCTATTGTATCTTGTTCCTCAACCCTAATAAATATCAGCGTTAATTTATTCATTTAATATTCCAAGTCAAGAGGCATCATGATGTTAAGAATTTGTCTTGTTGAAACAATAAAAATAAAAGTTAGAAACTTTTAAACTTATAACTAGTTTATATAAAATGAAGTTAGTATAAATTATATTTTCATAAATTTGTTTTTGGGATTGAACTTACTTTAGATATTTAATAACAAGCTTTAAGGACATGAAAAATACGATAAAAAAGGACTTACAAAAATTGGTATTTTATATATGAACCATTTGATGGTATTTTCATTTACACCGTATAAGTTTAGAAATATGCGAGTGAAATGCTGACGGATTACCTACGTCATCACGCTGCACAATCCTCTTTTCAGTTTTCACATTAGAACTTTCCTCAAGCATGTAAACGAACATTTTAAAATAATATAGTTTAACAACACGTTAAATAAGAAATACGGTCATCTGTATCATAGATATAAATATCAAATAATATATTCATGCTTTTAAAATCTAATTAAATTTACTTCGCCAAAAAATAGCAGAATTGATGGAAATCATATAAGATTAGAGAGCGAGATAGAGATGGTTCCTTGCCGAAAATGACAACGAGAAGTGAACAAATATTGACTTTACATATGTCTACGGGTCAAATGATTTTTTATTATTTTCTCTTTTATATAACCCATTTAATAGCTTCAGAAGAAAACTATATTTACGAATATATAAAAAGTAAAATACTCATGGTTCAGTTTCGTTTCTTTGTGATTTTTTTTTTCTTTTTCAAATTCTTTTGTGAATTAGTTATGAATATTTTCCTTTTGGTTAACCAAGTAAATAAGTAATAGGTACATTCGAATTCGACTAATGCAAGATAGTCGAAACATCTTATCCACTTAAGTTTCAATTAGACTTTTGGGTAATGATGCAGAATTAATTTGTTTCAGTGAAATATAAATTTGAAGAATGCGAGTTTACGTTTTCTTGCTGTCAAACTATATATGCGTGATTGATCATTAACTGATAAATCAGTGGCCTTTTGTTGATGACATTATAAGTAGAGTACTAAGTGTTTGTGTAATCAAACCTGTAATAGTTAATCAATGAATAACCGAGGTCAAAATGCGTAAAAGTAGCTACTTTTTCACCAAAAGAAAGGAAGAACAAATATATATATATATATATATATATATATATATATATATATATATATATATGTGACTACAATTATAGCAATCTTTTGATACTTTCTGGATAATGACTTCTCGGTGGACCAAATACGTCAATATTTGGTGACACGTCAATACGTCAATACTTTCTGGATAATGACTTGACGTATTTTTTTTTCAATTTCCCAACCAAAATAAATAAAGTACAAAATTTCTATTCAATATTCCTTTTATTTAATGTTGAATGTCCTGCCGGCAAAAAAAAAAAAAAAATGTTGAATGTCCTTTAGCATAACTTGAAGTTTCATGTCTAAACCTTACAAAAATCCAAAACCATTAAGACATCTATGAATGAGAAAATGAAGAAATGAGATCATATTACGTCTACACTGTTTATTTTAACATTGACAATTTTGTTTATTATTCATAGGTAATAGCTGTATATTTTTAAAAAATCGACAATCGTTAGAGGGGCGGTCAAGCTGGGATAATTCATATGTACTATATACAGTTCATTTGTTTACGGCTTCACAGTTACTTTAAATAGCCTTAGTTGTATAATTCGTGTTGGGTCTAATCCAAGAGTTTCAGTGTATTATTAGTTTAAAGGTTTTGTGTATTTTCTTTTATATTTCAAGCCTGTAAATTAACAAAAGTTAGCAGTCAACTTCTATTTTGATAAGAGACAAAGAAAAGTGGCAGCTATTACTTTACAAACATTATATCTTCGCAGCTGAAATTTACGACCAATTTTGTGGAATATGTACGGATGCACCAAACTTCTTTAAAAAAAATTGTTGTTGACTTGAACGTTTCTTTCACTATCTTTCATTCAATATACTAAATGAAACCGGTTCTTAAAGGTTTGATTACTTCCAAGATTTGGACGTCTATTTTTAAAAGAGCAAGAGTTTTTTTTTCAAAGTTTAGCACCTTCCAAAGTGAGAGGTCGAGACGAGAAGGACCTGAAATATAATCACCTTGAGAAAGAGAAGCTGGAGTTGTCACCCAAAGGAGAGACCATGTGTTGTTCTTGACATCATTCAAGAGACCCGTAAATAGTAACACTCAGAACCGGTTCGGTTTGGAAAATGTGATGTTGGTGAAGAAACAATGTTTAAGAACAATGTGATAAATGTTGGATTAAGCTTGAAGAAAGCTTAAGTCTCAAGTTATCCTAATCCTATCAAATTGTGGAATCCTAATGAGTTTAGGATTGACTGTGTTTATGAGTTATCTAAATATATCTCCAATAGGATTAGGAGTTACATTTGTCTATATAAAGAAATACCAAAGTGTGGTATAACTTATGAGCTAAAACAGAGAGTTTGAGAACTTAAATTTTTGAGAGAGTTTTCTTAAGTTAATAAGGAAGAAGAGAGTTTTTCTTTAATCAATCTTTGAGTTCATACAATCACGATTAGAAACAACAATTGCTATTGAGAGCTGCGTTCGGGAGATATGGCGGGAGACCTAACCATAGCTGAAACAAAACCAAAAGAAGGAGGAGGTCCTTTGTCGATCATGTGCCCTACACTCACTGCAACAAATTATATGGTATGGGCCATGAGAATGAAGATGACACTCAAGGTTCATGAAGTTTGGGACGTTGTAGAAACAGGCACACATCCTCTGGATGTAAAGAAAAACAACATGGCCATGGCTTTGTTGTTTCAATCGATTCCAGAGATGCTTGTCCTACAAGTTGGGGGGTTAGATACGGCACATAAGATTTGGGAAGAAATCAAGGTTAAACATGTAGGAGCAGACAGATTGAAAGAGGCGAGATTACAGACCTTGATGGCTGAGTTTGAACAATTGAAGATGAAGGACACTGACAAGATCGATGACTTCACGGGAAAGCTATCAGAGATTACATCACAATCAGCTGCACTTGGAAAGAGCATTGAGGAACCTAAGCTGGTCAAGAAGTTTCTAAATAGTCTTCCTCGATCGAAATTTATTCACATAGTAGCCTCTCTCGAGCAAATACTAGATCTAAACACTACAAGCTTGGTTGACATAGTTGAGCGTCTGAAAGCGTTTGAGGAGCATACACAAGAGATTGAGGTAGACCTAGAAGGTTAAAACAAACTTATGTATGCGAATATGGAAAACCAAGAGAGAAAAGGTCAGAATGCCAACAACGGAAGCAGTGGAGGCTATAGAGGCAGAGGTCGAGGAGGACGTTTTGGAAGAGGAAGAGGTCGCTGTCGTTGGAACGTTGGAACGAAGAAAGAGACACGTCAAACGTTCTTTGCTATCGATGTGACAAGCTAGGTCACTATGCCTCCAGCTGTCCTGATCGTTTGATCAAACTGCAAGAGGCTCAAGAGAACGAGCCATATGAAACGCTAGAAGTAGATAAACTTATGATGCATGAGGTTGTGAATTTGCATGAGAAGAATTGCATCCCAAGCAATTATGAGACTAACAACGATGAAGAAAATATCTGGTATCTTGATAATGGGGCTAGTAATCATATGACGGGAGATCAGAGATACTTCTCAAAGATCAATCGCTCCATTACGAGACAAGTGAGATTCAGTGATGATTCAAGAATAGAGATCAAAGGCAAAGGAACAATTGAATTCATGGATGAGAAAGGAGAATCAAGAGTGATAACGGATGTCTACTTTATCCCCGATTTGAAGAGTAACATTATTAGTCTTGGACAAGGCACATAAACAGGCATAGACATAAGAATGAGAGGAGAATATCTTACAATGCACGATCGTGAAGGAAGATTCCTTGTCAAGGCTAATAGTCGAAGAACAGAGTATACAAGGTGTGTATGCGGATAAAGTATACTACTTGTTTGAATCTAGCAGCAACTAGCGATTCAAGCTTGTGGCATCCAAGGCTGGGGCATATACACATGGATTCGTTGAGAACAATGATATAAAGAGAGAGTGTTAAAGGAATTCCACACATTAGTGTTGGAAAAGAAATATGTGGTCTGTGTCTCTTAGGGAAACAAACCTGGAGGGTTTTTCCTCAAGATAATTCTTATCGAGCATCCAAGATACTAGAGTTGGTTCATGGAGATCTTTGCGGTCCCATAACATCAAGCACGACAGGCAAAAAAAATATCTTTGTTCTCATCCATAATCACTCAAGATATATGTGGACAATTCTCTTGAAAGAGATAAGTGAAACATTTATGAAGTTCAAGACGTTCAAAAGTATGGTGGAGAAAGGGTCAGGAGCGACTATAGAAACGTTTAGAACAGATAGAGGTGGAGAGTTTGTGTCAAAAGAGTTTAACACGTTTTGTGATAATGTTGGGATCAAACTACATCTCACAGCCCCATACACTCCACAGAAAAACGGAGTTGTGGAGAGACGAAATAGGAGACTAATGGAGATGACAAGGAGCATAATGAAGCATATGCATGTTCCAAACTACTTGTGGGGAGAAAAAACAAGACACTCAACTTATCTGCTCAATAGGACAGCTACAAGAACGCTCAAAGATGGAACACCATATGAAGTTTTCCGAGGAAAGAAACCGAGTATAGAACATCTCCGAATCTTTGGTTGTATCGGTTATGCAAAAGTAGAGACACCATACTTGAAGAAGCTAGATGACATATCACACATGCTTGTACATCTAGGAACAGAACTGAACTGGGTTCAAAAGCGTATCGTATGTTGAACCCAAGAACGAAGAGGATTATAGTGAGCAGAGATGTGGTGTTCGATGAAGCCAAAGGATGGAATTGGAAGTTAGTTGACACAGAATATATATACGATGAAGATTTCAGTGTTATACTAGGCAATTTTGGGAATCGTGGGATTCAAGAGATGGTGCAGAACAATAAAGAGTAAGAAGATGTGATATTTCAGAACAAACGATTGTCAAGACAGAAAGTGGAGATGAAGAAGATGAGTTAGTAGGTAATGAAAGTGAGTCACAAGAAACAAAGAATGAAGAAAATAGTGACTCAAACAATCAAGAGTTGAGAAAAACGACAAGAGAAAGAACAAGGCCAAAGTATCTAGAGGACTACATCCTTCTAGCAGTAGAGGAAGGAGAAAGGTTGCTTTTGATGCTAAACAATGAGCCAAGATATTTCGAGGAAGCTGCATCATCTAAGGATTGGATGCTTGCATGTGAAGATGAAATTTGTTCTATCAAGAAGAATGAGACATGGACACTAGTTGATCTTCCGAGTTGAGTTAAGGCGATTGGTTTAAAGTGGGTTTTCAAGTTGAAGCGAAACTCTGATAACAGTATCAATAAGCACAAAGCCATGCTTGTTGCTAAGGGATACACACAATGATATGGGGTAGATTATGACGAGGTTTTCGCCCCAATAGCTCGATTTGAGATAATCCGCTTGTTGATTAGTATTGCAACATCAAGTGGATGGAGATACATCATCTTGATGTAAAGACAGCCTTTCTTCATGGAGAGTTAAAAGAGATTGTCTATGTTATGCAGACAGAAGGTTTTGAAGAAAAAGGAAGTGAAGGAAAAGTGTGTAGATTGCATAAGACTTTTATGGGTTAAAACAAGCACCAAGGGCTTGGAATGATAAGGTAAATCAAGTCCTTAAGGAGCTTCGTTTTGCCAAGTGTTCTAAGGAGCCATCAGTTTTCCGGAGAGTGATGAATGATGACATCTTACTGCTGGTTGTTTATGTAGATGACTTGCTGGTACATGTACAAGCATAAGAGATATCGAAAAATTAAAGAAAGAGATGCCCTCTAAGTTTGAGATGAGTGACTTGGGAGAGTTAACTTACTACCTTGGGATAGAAGTGAATCAGCATGACAAAGTAATAAAGTTGAGTTAGAAACGTTATGCTATGAAGATTTTGGAAAAAGCTGATATGAAAAGTTGTAATCCGGTTCACAAACCAATGGAGGCCGGGCAAAAATTGTCGAAATCCTTGGATGAAAAGGACATTGACGCAACATGCTACATGAAGAACGTGGGTTGTTTTCGATATTTACTTCACACCAGCCTAGACTTGGCCTATTCCATATGTGTTCTAAGTAGGTATATGCAGAGTCCAAAGGAAGCTCATGGAGTTGCGATGAAGCAATGTCTAAAGTATTTGCGTGGAACTACTTCTTTTGCGCTGAGCTTTGAGAGATCACCTACAAGAGTACCAAGACTTGTGGGATACAGTCATAGTAGCCATAGTGTTGATCCTGATAATGGAAAGAGAACAATGGGTCATGTGTTCTATTTTGGTGGAAGTCCAATCTCATGGTGTTCGCAAAAACAAGAGACTGTAGCACATTTGTCATGTGAGGCAGAGTTTATGGCAGGAACGGAAGCAGCAAGACAAGCGATCTGGCTTCAAGATCTAGTTAGAGAAGTAGTTGGATCACCTTGTGAGAAAAATACCATTCGAATAGACAACCAGTCAGCAATCGCACTTACAAAGAACCCTGTCTTTCATGGTAGAAGCAAGCACATTCACACAAGGTATCACTTCATAAGAGAATGTGTTAATAAGGGACTGATGTACCTCTATTTTACATGCTTTTTATACTATTTTACTATGGTTTTCTAATGGTTTTCTAGTGGATTCTTGTCTTAAAAGGTAGTTTTTATGGATTTATACTGCAAAGAGTCATTTTAGGTCAAAAGGTGCATTATGGAGCAAAACAGAGGATTTGGACTTCAAACCAGTCCAATGCACAGCATCTACTTTGGGAGGAGCTAAAAAAATCTACTCAATGGATTTCATCAAGACCAGTTCCCTGCGTGCTCTGAGTGAGTTAACTTTCCAACGCAATTGGATTGGCATCATTTGGATGAGTAGAAAAGGAGTTATGATCAAAATAGCAAAGACTGGTCCAGACGGCTCTATCGAGAACCGGCCAACCGTGCGGAACGGCCGGCCGAGGAACATCATCCGCGGTCGGCCAACATCCGCACTCATCCGTCCCGCTGAACACGGCCGAGCCACGTACCGACCCGGGAAGCATCGTCCCGCGGTCGGCCAAACCAATCACGGCCGAAGCCGCGCACGACCGTACCGCGCGAACCGGGAAGCATGCCTCGCGGCCGTGCGGCACAACTCATGTACCGCGGCCGATCGCACCGTCCGACCAGGAAGGCCGTCCCACGTCCGGCCGAATCCTTCGACCAATATCATCCGTCCGCCGACCCGACGAACGAACACGAAAACTCTCGGCCACGATCGACCGACCGTGCCGATAGCGACCACGACCCGATAGCCGGCCGACGTCCCGACCGACCGTCCGAACGGTCCGGTCGACCCGAAGCCGTTTTTGAAGCCCGTTTCACACGTTTCAAGCCCAAACGGCGCCGACTTACTAGATTAGGTCTAGCCGCTTTCATACTTAGAGCATTATAAATACTTCTTTTTAGCCTTGTAACTCAAGAAGGAGAGAGACCACAATTTACTTTACATCTTTAATAAAGTTTTGCTTGCTTTTACTTTGTTCTTGCTTGTTCTCTTTCTAGAGAGGATTCGAATCTCTGTTCTTATGAATATGAATTCGTTTTCCTTCTCTATGTCTGAGTAGTTTACTTGTTAAGTGATAGGAAGTCAAAGGATAGCATTCATGTATGCTTGATGATCGATCACATGAATTAGGGTTTTACTTATAATCTTCATCTTTGCTTATACTTAATGCTTGTTGTTAATCTGGCCAATTAGCATATGATCTAAGGTTGATTTGAGCCTCGAAAGTGCTGTATCATTCGCCTGAACTAGTATTTGGTGGGCAACCTCTTTTAGACTGCGAAAGTTGATTTACTTGTAGGTTGTGAACAATTGAACTTAATCGAACTAATGCTTGATTTAATCACCTAGGGACATACCAAAAGTTTAGCGACTAGGGAGATTAACAAAGGGGTCGGAGCCACGAAAGTGGAAAGATCATACCATAGTGTTTCGAGTTCTAGATGGCACCTAATTGCAATAACCCTAATTGATTGATCCTTGCTTCTTGAATTGCTTATCTTAAGACTATCCTATTGCTTAGCCCTCATCTCCTATTGATTTCAATTCTTTACTTTTATTACTTGCATGCCTTTACTTTCACTGCACTCAACCAATCTTATACTGTTTGCCCTAGCTCGATCTCAATCTCATAGTTTGTAGTGTGCAATCTGGTCCTCGTGTTCGATACCCGTTTACTACTTCTGACCTGTGCACTTGCAGAATCAGGGATAGGAAAAGGGAAGACCTGATCCCGCGATTAGGGACAAATAGAGTTAGAGCATGTTCCAGGAGACAAACAGAAGGCTGACATCTTGACAAAGACGTTGGGCAGAATCAAGTTCAGAGAAATGAGAGAACTCATAGAAGTGCAAGACTTAGAAGAAAATGACTTCAAGCTTAAGGGGGATAATGTTGGATTAAGCTTGAAGAAAGCTTAAGTCTCAAGTCATCCTAATCATATCAAGTTGTGGAATCCTAATGAGTTTAGGATTTATCTAAATATATCTCTAATAGGATTAGGAGTTAGATTTGTCTATATAAAGAGATACCAAAGTGTGGTATAACTTATGGTCACAATTAATCGACTCATTTAAAAATTATAACCATTAAAGAAATGTGTTATCAAACGCAAGGGTACATCAAAAAACATCCTCTCCCATTTTATTTCCTCAATAAATTTTTCTCTCTTCCGTTTTCTTATTTTTCTTTCGTAGAAGTGTCTTGATCGAGTCTTCGGGTATTTGCAATTGCGGCCAAATCCATTTACATTATGAGATTAGTAAATGCTTTCGCAATATCTGTAAATCGTGTATTTCAAACGTTTATACTCAATGGATGATGTGGAGAAAGAGTTGGATCCATTGCCGAGTGAGGGATTTATGAAGTTAACGCAAGATGAGACTAGAGTTTTGTGTGCACCTTTTACCGAAGAGGAATTCGTGAAAGCAGTACGGTCTATGAATCGCTTTAAAGCACCAGGACCAGATGGGTATCAACCTGTGTTTAATCAGAAGTATTGGGAGGAGGTTGGTGAATCTCTAAAGCGGTTTGTGTTTCAATTCTTTCATCAGGGCAGCTACCGCCGGATACAAATGATGCCATAGTGGTGTTGTTAGCTAAAGTTGCGAATTTGGAGAAGATCTAACAATTTTTTCCGATTAGTTTGTGTAATGTCTTATTCAAGATCATTACTAAAACTATGGTAGGGAGAATGAAGACGGTGATGACAAAGTTGATTGGACCAGCGCAGTTGAGTTTCATACCAAAGTGACTTAGCACAAACAACATCCTCATCGTTCAGGAAGCGGTACATTCTATGAGGCGTATAAAAGGGAAGAGAGGCTGGATAATACTTAAGCTGGATCTCGAGAAGGCATATGATCGGATCCGGTGGGATTTTTTGGAAGAATCACTCTGAGCAGCAGGATTTTAAGATCAATGCATGGGTGGTATGGATTATGCAATGTGTGGGTGGTCCGTCTATGTGTCTACTTTGGAACGGGAGAAAACAGAATCTTTCAAGCCATTGAGAGGTTTACGCCAGGGAGATCCGTTGTCTCCATATCTCTTTGTGTTATGTATGGAGCGTTTGTGCCATCTGATTGAGCAAGGCGTAGACCCCAAGCAGTGGAAAGTCATAAGCTTGTCAAGAGGGGGTCCAAAATTATCACATATTTTTTTCGCCGATGATTTAATTCTCTTCACAGAGGCATTGGTAGCCCAGATTCATGTTATACGTGGTGTCTTGGAGAGGTTTTGTCACGCCTAAGGACAAAAAGTTAGCCTTAAGAAGTCCAAGATCTTCTTTTCGTACAATGTTTCTTGGGAACTATGCAGTGCAATTAGTGTGGAGACTGGTATTCAAGCTACAAGGGAGCTGGGGAGGTATTTAGGGATGCCATTCTCCAAAAAAGGATCAACAAAGAAACGTTTGGTACTATGTTGGAAAGAGTGTCTTCCAAGCTAGCAGGGTGGAAGGGTCGACTGTTGAGTTTGGCGGGCCGGATTACGTTAACCAAAGTGGTACTTGGGTCCATACCAGTTCATACCATGAGCTCTATAAAGCTCCCGGAATCCACAATGAGAAGACTCGACCGACTGTCTCAGAACTTTGTATGGGGCTCTACTGCAGAGAAGAGAAAACAACATTTGGTTGGATGGGATAAAGTCTGTTCACCCAAGACAGAAGGGGATTTAGGGATTCGAAAAGTAAATATCATGAATAAGGCGTTGGTTGCAAAAGTGGGGTAGAGAGTGCTCGACGAAACCACTGTTCTATGGGCGAAAGTGATTCGGATAAGTACAAGGTCGGTGATATTCATAACAGATCTTGGGCTGTACTGAAAGGCACTTGGTCCTCAACTTGGAGGAGCATTGCGGCAGGAGTATGGGATGTTATTCGTCCAGGTCATGGATGGGTTCTGGGAAATGGCCGAAACATTAGCTTTTGGACAGATAAATGGTTAATGGGCCAATCGTTGCTAGACTCAGCGACTGCTGTAATACCGGAGGCACTTGTGAGTATGAAGGCGTACGACCTTGGATTGACGGAGTGGGATGGGACCTGCAGAGAATAACGCCTTTTGTGACAGAGGATAGAAGACTTGAATTGGCTGCAGTTGTGATGAATCAGGTGTTGAGTGTGGAGGAGCATCTATCATGGGGGGGGGGAGACAGCGGATGGTGCGTTCACGGTTTCGTCAGCCTATTGGCTATTAAGCCAAAACAGAAGCTATAAACCGGATATGGGACAGTTCTTTCATCGTATTTGGAGGGTTGTAGCGCCAGAACGAGTCAGATCAATATTCTTGTGGTGCTAAGTTGGGAACCAAGGGATCATGAACCAAGAGACGTTTCGTCGACACATTCGTGCTACAATTGTTTGCCAAATATGCAAAGGTGGGATCCAGTCTATTTTACATGTGCTGAGAGATTTTCCAGCTATGGTGGGAGTATGGACTCGCATCATGCCACGAGGGAAATAACAAGCCTCTTTCACTAGGTTCCTTTTTGAGTGGTTATATGTGAATCTGAGCGATGAGCACAAACAGGGAATGGTTCTTGGTCCACTATGTTCGCCGTAGCTGTATGGTGGGCATGGAAGTGGAGATATAATGATGTGTTTGGGGATAACACACTGTGGAGAAACAGCGTGAAGTTTCGAAAAGACTATGTGAAGGGCGTGCACTCAGTCACAATGGGCGGTGGAAGAACAGGGGTAGTGCATAGAGTGGAGCGAGAGATCTTGTGGTTACCACCTCTAGTGTCATGGATGAAACTGAATATTGATAGTGCTTCACATGGGAACCCGGGGTTAGCGACAGCTGGAGGGGCCATTCAGAACGGGTATGGTCAATGGTGTGGTGGTTTTGCTCTTAACATTGGGCGTTGCACTGCTCCTGTTGCGGAGTTATGGGGAGTATACTATAGCTTGTGCATTGCTTGGAAGAGAGGCATTACAAGTCTGAAAGTGGAGATAGATTCTTTAATGGTTGTGGGATTTCTTATGACAGGGATTTGCGACACACATCCACTGTTATTCCTGGTACATATGTGTCATGGCTTGCTTGTAAAGAACTGGAAAGTCTAAGTTACCGATGTGTATAGAAAGGCTAACCATCTTGCAGATGGATTAGTGAACTATGCTTTTTCTTTGCCATTTCGTTTGCATACTTTTGATATTGTTCCTCCGGACTTGTTGCCGGTTTTGCGTGAGGATGAGTGCGGAGCCACACGTCCAAGACATGTTCGATTCTAACTTGGTTAATTTTTAATAAATTTTGGAAACTAGTTCCCGATGTTTCACAAAAAAAAAAAAAAAAAAAAAAAAAAAAAAAAATCTGTAAATCTTGAATTTGTTTGCTATGTTTCTTATCGTCATCAAGGTTAGGGGTTTCAAAATCTCATATTGCAATCCCGATTTGTTTAGCGTTTTTAATTTTCGTAACAGGTAAAAGATTAATTTTTGCAGTGATCATTGGTTAGTTGGCGTTGTTGGATGCTTCTTTTCACTGGTAAATTCTTTGTTTGATGCTTGGGAATTTCAAGTTCGTTTATGATTCTGAGAATTTTTGTTCTCCGATAATGCTTGGGAGTTTCAATTTCATTGGTGATTTTGAGAATTTTTGTTCTCCGATTATGCTTGGATTTCCAATTTCCAATTAATTTAAGCTTTCTCGTTTGTTGTCTACGATCATTGCAATTGCTAATAATAAGTTAACACTCAACAATATAACTCTACTTATGTGGTAATAAACAAATAAACGTCTACGGCCATTGCAATTGTTTTAAATAAGTCTACGCTCAGTAAATTAAGTCTACTACTATTGTAATATACAAACAAAAGTCGTAATATACAAATAAAAGTTTACGATCATTGCAATTGTTTTAAATAAGTCTACCACAACAATGAATAAATCTACCGTGCACCAATAAATCTACAATCAAAGAAAATAAAATCTACCATAACATAAACGGAAGTTAGCATGTTCCTTAAGTCTACTGTCAAATAAATAAATCTACAAGACAATGTATAAATCTACAGTAATGTAAATTAACTCTACCGTAACATAAACATAAAAATAAATCTACGGCCAAAACAAATAAGTCTACAAGAAAGCTATAAATCTACAGCTATGCAACAATAAATCTACAAAATGCCACTTCGACTTTGACATTTTTAAAAAGTCTACTTCAATACGAATTAAGTCTACAAACATAAACCTACAACAATAGAAATAACTCTACAAAATCAAAAATAACTCTACAAACTTAATTAAGTCTACGGCAACTAAAAATAAATCTACAAACAAAAGTCTACGAATAAGAGATAAATCTACAAGACGATATAAATCTACAAATCGAAAAATTGGTCTATAATTTTCATAATTACTCTACGGTCATTGTTTGTAGATTTATTCTTGTAGACTTATTTTGGAAAACGCCTTTTGTAGACTTATTATCCCGGTTCATTAATGGCACTTTCGTAAATACGTTTTTTGTCACCAAAGAAATGAGGGTAAAATCCGGAAAAAATGTTGTTTAAGTCACTTGAATTTACAAGGGTCACTCTAGTTATTAACTAACTTTCCAAAGTCATATTCATCGACTTTCCTTTAATATATAAAGATATTTATAGATTTGTATCTATTGTGTTATTCTCTCATCATCAATCTAATAGTTATCAGCAACATTATTAGATTCTTCCATGACCCTCTTATTTGAAAAGATCCATATTTTTTTTCACTACACTGTTAGATTTCAGGAATCTCAAATGGTTTCATCAGCTTTATGTTTTGTTCTTGATATAGGTTTGGCTACACGAGTATTGAGCCTCGCAAAAAATCACGATTCCTCACGTAATTCCTCAAATCATTAATTTTGAATAATGTCACGATACAATCAAGTTTAGACATGATAGATTGATAAATTGACCAGTGGCTTAGACAAAAACGTCCTTGACAAAGACTATGAGTTGGGTTTTCGACTCGTGGGATGGAAAAATATTAGAAATCTTAAGCTATAATGTTTAGATATAAGAATAAGAGAAAAAACTATTTGGATAATGAAAAAATTATTTGGATACAAGAATAATAACTTAAAACAAACCGATGGTTTAAAAAACTTCCATTTTCCATCTCTTAAAAATATGCAAAAAAGAAACAGAAATTTTTCCGTTTTCCAGCTCTTAAAAATCTGCAAAAAAATAAAAGAAAACTTATTGGGTTTTTTTGAAAATTTCTGTTCGGTTTGGGTTCGACTTTTTTTGGGATTCAGTTTAGGGTTTTCCGGATCTTTTTTATTTCGGGTTTTTGGGATTAAACATATTAAAAAATTTTGGATATTTTAAGATTTTGATTAGGGTTTCTAGGTCGGGTTCAGGATTCGGGTCAAAAAATTACGAGTTTTTTATTCGGTTCAGCGTTTTCGAGATTTTTGGATTTAGGATTTTCGGGTTTAGACATATTAAAAAATTTTAAGTTTTTTAAAATTTTGATTAGAGTTTTTGGGTCGGGCTCAAGTTTAAGATTTAGATTTTCTTCATAAAACCGCAACGTTATACCGCGCGTTTGCGCGGGTCCTTACTAGTAGATACTATTATTACATACGCCCTTATAAATCTATTACAGTATCTTAAATTTATAGCAGTGCCATCTTATTAATTCAACTTACATAATTTGCATATACATAACATCTTTAAAATATATATATATATATATATAATATATATAATATATATAATGCTAATATTTTTTTTAAATGTAAATTGAAAGCAATTATATGGGGCTCTTATTCTTAAACATATGATTTTTTTTTTAAATTATATATTAGCAAAATATGATAAAATAGTCATATTTATTATGGTTTACTAATGATTTGCTTATAATTTGCTTATGTTATACTTATAACTAGGTGGTTGGCCCGCGCCTGCGCTTGCAAGAGGCAAGAGATGTTTCAGAATTCCAATTCTTTTAATTAATATTAGATTAACGCATTTTGTTTTTAATTACTTTTCATATTTTCAAAGGAAGTAATAGTTTAACATTTTTTTTTAATTTGATATGAACTTACAAATTATGAAAACACAAAAAATTATTTAAATTTTGTAATGATATTTTCTTCTCTCTCTTATTTTTTTTCACTCATCACATCTTTTTTTTCTTCCATTTTTTTATTCGTTGTCATCATCTTTTTTTTTGCTTCTTCTTTTTCCAATTTTTGTTCTTCAATCATTTCTTATGTCTTCATATCCCCAACTTACTATTCTTCTTTTTCTTTCTAATTTTCTTTACATTCTTTTTCCGATTTATCTTCTTCCTTATTCCCCCCTACTCTCTATCTTTATCATCTTTGTCTTCTCTGACATCATCTTATTCTAATTTTTATTTATCTCTTATTTGTCTTCTTTCCCTTCACATTTTTTTTTTCTTTATTTTCTTTTTCCTCTTCGAGTTTTCTTCTTCTTCTCGAAGTTTCTCATCTTCTTTTATTTTACTCATGTTTTTATTCCTTCTTCTCTATGTCTTATATTTCACTTATCAATTCATTCGATAGTTTAGATTTTCAAGGATTCATGAAATAGTTTATATCTTTATATAATCGAGATCTATTAAAAATCTATTTAATTTGTGCTGTTATCTTTTGATTATGGATTTTTTTTTTTTAGTTTTTTTCTATTTATGACTGTATTTTAGAATGGTAGATATAAATTTATAATCAATGATTTTTAATTTTGATATACTTCTATTATAATTCAAATTTTTAAAAATAAAACATAAACCCAAACCCATCAATATAAAACATAAACCCTAAACCCATCAATATAAAACATAAACCCTAAACCCAAACCCTACGTTATAAACCCCCTCCCCCTAATTAAAGAACCTACACTCTAAACCCAAATCCACATTATAACTCCCCCCTCAACCGCACACCTGAATCTCACATTACAAATTAGCTGTTTTTATTTTTATTTTATTTATATATATTTTGTTTGTAATTGTTGTTTTCTTATCCCCTTTATTCTTGTCTAGTGATCCCATCTTCTTCTTTTTCTTCCATTTTTTTACTTGTTGTCATCATCTTTTTTTTTCTGCTTCTTCTTCAGTTTTCAATTTTTGTTCTTCAATCTTTTTTTGTGTCTTCATATCCTCCTACTCACTATTATTCTTTTTCTTTCTAATTTTCTTTACATTCTATTTCCGATTTTTTTTCTTCCTCATTCCCCCTCTCTTTCTATCTTTATCATCTTCGTCTTCTCTGACATCATCTTATTCCATTATCTTCTTTTCTCTTACTCATATTTTTCATTCTTGTATTTCACTTATCAGTTCATCTGATAGTCTAGATTTTGTTAATTCACATATTCAATTAATATTAGGTTAATGCATTTTCTTTTTAATTACTTTTCTTAATTTTGTAATGTGTTTATTTTCCAAGGAAGTAATAGCTTAAGATTTTGTTAATTTGATATGAACTTATAAATTGTGAAAGCACAAAATATTCGTTAAATTTTGCAATGATTGTTTTTTTCCACTCTTATTCTTTTTCATTGATCCCATCTTTTTTTTGGTTTTCTTCCATTTTTTATTCTTTGTCATCATCTTTTTTTTTTGCTTCTTCTTTTTCCAATTTTTGTTCTTCAATCATTTATTGTGTCTTCATATCCTCCAACTTACTATTCTTTTTTTTCTTCCAATTTATTGTTTTTCATTTATTGTGTCTTCATATTCGTTAAATGGTTCTTCTTCATGTTCCAATTTTTATTCTTCAATCGTTTTTTGTGTCTTCCTATCCTCCTACTCACTATTATTCTTTTTTCTTTCTAATGTTTTTTACTTTTTATTTCCGATTTTTCTTCTTCCACATTCCCCCTCTCTTTCTATCTTTATCATCTTCGTGTTCTCTGACATCATCTTATTCCATCATCTTCTTTTCTCTTACTCATGTTTTTCGTTCTTGTCTATGTTTTGTATTTCACTTATCAGTTTATCCGATAGTCTTGATTTTGTTAATTCACAAATTCAATTAATATTAGGTTAATGCATTTTCTTTTTAATTACTTTTCTTATTTTTGTAATGTGTCTATTT